TTTGCTCATAGCTAAAGCTTTGCATCTGTTGTGAATATATTAGGAATTTGTTCTCTCACCAAAAACTGAAACCAAGGGCTTAGAGCAGGCTGAAGCCTGAACGCTGGTTAACAGGAATTATTTATACATACACCAACCTCATTTTGTTAAATTCTTGGCCATGTATGATATGAGCTTCAACTATTAATAACTGTATATACTTACTTTTTCTGTTTAGATGGCCATTAATCACACAAAACACACAAAAAACAAATATAATAAGCAGTTTTGCATTATGCAGTATAACCAAATCTTTACATTAAGTTAAAGTAATATAATATAAAGCACAATATCCACTTTTTGTTCATCTACGATCATTTGGCCCAGTCATTTTTTCCCTTTATAAGATAAAGTAAGTGCTAGACAAGTCTTTGCAGAAGCTTCTAAGTTCACCAAGGCTTAGACTATGAAAAAAGGTTTTTGTTTTTTTTCCCCTCCCAACAATTAGTCATCATCCTATCAAACTTTTCAATGGAAAAGATGTGTTTGGTAGCACATCTGAACATCAAACAAAATATGTTTTCTTTCTGGATGATTCATACAGGACAAAGCTTTCACAGGTATTGTGGCATTGTGACTTTTCAAAGGCAACACAATGCAGTCTCCACACTTGCAGGTGTCTGCTGTGCTACAGGTGAACCCTCAGCAACTAGACTCAGTCAGACCCCCCATTTCTACCCTTCAGATACCCACAAGTCCTCAGTGAAACTACATCCCCTGCTGATCCTGTGCATTCTCATTCTTTCGGTCTCCTTTCCACCACTCTTTATTACCTAGTCTAATTTATTCTCCTGTTCACTCTTGCTATTTTTGTACAAAAACCCAAGATGTTCCCCTCGTGTCTACAGCTCAGATTCAATGAGCAGAGTGCATCAGGAGCTAAGATGTATTACCATTCACATAAACACACTGCTTCCACAGACATTTACAAGAAAGTCTAATTGACAGTAAATTGTGCAAAACCATGCACACACAGTATACAGAGCTATTGGTGTGAACAGGAAGAAAGTAAGAAAGTAAAGAAACTAGCCAGAGATACTTAACATTTGAGAAAAGGTGCAGTGAGATTGGACAAGGATGAAAATGGATTTTCACTAAACCATACAACAAGCCAGAAAGCACGAGAAACAGACTGTTTGCATTTTGAACTGAGCAAAGGTTTCCTTTCTTCCCCACACACTTCAGAGAGGCTTTTATTTAGTCACCTTAACGTGGCTGTACTCAGCCTTGCTGGACTCACTGCCGACGGGCTTGGTTTCAGCCCTGGGTTTGAGGACTTGGCGGAGGGGACTGGAGATTGGTAAGCCCGTCACACTGATTCCATCTGTTGACAAAGCACAGCAAAACACAGTCAGAAAAAAAAACAAGAAATCATTAAATTGAGGTTAGCAGAGCATTTGCATCATTTGTGGTTCGAGTATTTCTACAACTGTTGGGTATCATTATAAAATATCGTCACTCCTGAGGTTTCTTCATGGGGTAGTGCTTAGAAAGCTGAGAAAGACCTAAATTAGATCTGATGCAAACCAAAACAACTGTTTAGTGTTTTTAAACAGAATCTGTCTTTTGACAGATAATTCACTCAGCATGGCAGGTCTACAATTTCAGCAGAAGCCAAAACTATGAGGAGCAACACTTAGTACAGAGACAGTTTAGAGGCTAGTCTTTAATTAAGACCCAAAAGAAAGAAGTGCAGCTAAAACGTTAAAAGAATTGGTACCAAACTATGTGTGAATTTCCTCAAATGTGAACTGAAATCATAAAATGTATTGCTAGCTAGTAGTAGTAACTATATTTTACAGACTCTTGCACAGATATAGTACCTTGCCGCATCCCAGAATACAAAACATACACGACCACAGAAGCGTTTTAGCTCAATCTTGCAACGTGAGCCTGATAGTTGGTCTGGATCGAGGTTGGCGTTCACCAGCGGACCACACACACCAGGTGTGAAAACAGCCCTGGTCTAATCTGTTAGCATGATTATGTTCTGTAAGTGGTCCTGTGAGTGAGGCCTAATTTCAATCTGTCAACTATATGACACACAACATAATTATAAAGGGGGACTCTGTTTCAGACGTATTCAGATGAAATCTTTATCTAAATCTCTCACATTTCTTCATTCTCTTTTTCTTATTATTTCGTTTAGGCAACTTACATGCTCTATAAAAGGGAGAAAGGTCCTAATGTATGTGTGCTGCTTCCTCACTACTGGACTGTCACTTCCCTTTCTTGCTGTTAATTGGCTCCTGGTGGTCCCTCCAAAAAGCCAATGGGCGAAACCTGAGCCCCCATCAATACTCTGCATGGGTTATTTTATAGGCTAAGTTGGTACACCTCTGATAACTGCCAGCACACAGCTAAATATTAGTAATACATATTTCTGCATCAGTTACTGTAACTTGCACACATGCTCAAAGATAACTAACTTAATCAGGACAGCAACAATTAGCATGAGCACGACTTAGGGTCAGAGGAAATTAGTGGGTACCCTGAAACTAACACACAGTGATGAACCTTTATAGTTATGCTGTTCCGAAAGGTCTTGATTAACCTTTATGGTCATTCTGTAAGTTCTAGTGTGTAGTGCTGTCAACATATATTGCATTACACTGAGAGATCTACCAATTTCTCTGCTGTCACTGACATAAAATCATGTGTATGCACAGCAGAGGTTTACCCAATGATACAAAATATCAGTGGACTTTATCTCAGCCTGCTGATATCATTTTTCCTATTAGATAGCAAACATAGTTCATCTATTGCATCACAATAGCTCTACGGTCTGATTTTCAAACTTTTAAATAACAGAAAATCTGAGATCACTGGGTTTATGGTACTATTTTGTGCATGAGGATATGAATGAATGATTTTATGTCCATGACCTGAGAGAAGCAGCATGGACACAGGAGCAGCTGCACAATCAGCAGCTGTTAGGCACCACCAGAGGGGCTGCTGCGCTTTGAACTCACTGAAACAATACACAAAAATGACGCCCACAGCTTAAGCTCTGACGTCAAAGGAATCATGTCACTCTCCGACGTCAGGAGGATAAAAAGCCCTGCAATTTCCCCCTAGAGAAGGGAAATTACCGGCCTTTGCAGCAGCTTGGGCTATTGGGTTCATGATGGACATATTCACAAACTGTCCAACTCTAAAATAGCTACATAGAAAACAGTTCAATAGAACCACATGGAAGAGGTCTGTCAAAGGGATTTGCTTGTACTAAAGGATTACACTACTGTGCTGTTACAATTCATTTAAGTGAAAATTTGGATTATCCCAAAAATACAGCAACAACCAATAAACATGGATATGTTGCATTTCCGACTAACAACTTGGCAGGAAAAACAAATGAATATAGCCGTAACAAGCGTGAGCAGATGAGAAAAAATCTTAGTAAAAATAGCAAGAATTCATAAATGGTAGAAAGAACACACAGATTTCCTTCTTGCATATTTTTTCATGAAATAAATAAGAACAGTTTGTTCAAACACACAGTGCTTCGGGCTCTTTCGTCTCTAACTGCAGTCTATTTTAAATAAAGGCCTGATTCTCGATTCGGAACGTATTAGTAAGGACCCAGGCACTTTTTGAGAAAATTCTCAAACTAATTAATTATCCTCTGCCCACCTGCTGCAGATAAAGGGGACTTTGATCTAACCAGAGGCTTCATTTAGGTACACCTACAATAACAGACTTCTGGGGCCATCTGGGGGCAACAGAAACAAGTTGAGAACACAACACTGATTTACTTTATCATCAACTTTTATCATCAACTTTTATCATCATGTTTTATTGCAAACTTGTTGGAAAACAAGCTGCTTATTTACACATCTAACATTTACACTGTTATTCATTTGGAGTCTCTTTTTTCTGACCACCTGGCAAATGAAAGACAAATAATAACTTGAATCTGGAGAAAAATCTTTTTTTGCTCGACTGTGTTTAACAGCTGGTAGGTAATTGCTTCTTTCTGCAGTTTTGTGCTGAATGAGGAGCTTTTTTCCAGCCAAACAAGAAAGTTGCACCTTATTACCGTGCAAAGATACTGTTGCGCTGTTTTCACTGCGTTGCCACGTTACCACAATAATATGTTTGAGGTGGGTCTAATATCATGTTCATGTAATAAATGTCAGGTGAAATGCAACTGATGTGTGAGTAATTGTATTTTATATTATTGAAGAAAAACTAATTATCATATAATACTGAAGAAAAAAGCAGAACCAAGTGTCTCCTGCAGTTATTAGAGCCAATACTGCATATTCTGCTGCAAAGTGTAGCTGCAGGATTTAGATACACGGCTACTACTGCATTAACATTAACAAAGAAATGAATGATTTATCTTGCTGTAATTAACAACCATAAGTGATATCAGATGGATATTAGCTGAACTACTAAGCAGAGATTTCA